GAGGGGGGAGGAGGGGAGGAGAGGGGAGGGGAGGGGAAGGGAGGGGAGGGGAGGCTGGATATGGTGATAAACTCTTATGAGGCTGAGGCAGGAGGACTGCTATGAGTTTAAAGTCAGCCTGAACTACATATAAAACCTAGGGTACCTTCTTGCCCAGATATGATGGTTTGGAGTAGCTACTGGCTTCCAGTTTGAACGTGATTTCAGACTCTTCAGGCACTCAGTCCTTTGCATGGGTTTCTCGAAGTGTCCAGGCAGGGCAGCGCAGGAGGCCCCTGCACAGAATCCAACTCTGCAGCACCATGATGCACAGGTCCATCCTCTTGAGCTCTGCTGTTGAGGGCAAAGTACCCTCTGCCCCCTCTGTGGCCTAACTGCTGCCCCTAGATTCACCTGACCTTTCCTTCTCTAGTAGCTCTTAGGAATTTTATCTTTGGTCTTCCACAGTTCTAAGTTTTCTCCTAGGAAATTTGCTCAGCTCTGAGAGATTACTATTTTCTTCAGCTGTGTATATCTACAGATTGTTGACTTAGTTTATTTCAGTAATTATTTTTTACTTCTTTTTGTTTGAGACAGGATCTCACTGTGTAGTTCAGGGGGAATTCACTATGTAACCCAGGCTAGCCTCAGTGATCCTCCTACCTCAGCCTTCCAAATGCTGGGATTACAGGTATAAATCACCATGCCTGGTGTTTCTCACTTCTTGAAGATCTGTTTTTACATCCTCATTTTATAGAACTTTTTCCTGCTGCAGTTTCTATTTCCTGAGAAGTCTGGGTCATTATGCATGTTTCTTCTGGCACGTATATCCTCATGTGACTATGCGTACATCTTCCTTAGTTTCAGGTATTCCTACAGAGTTGTCTGTGCTATGTTAAACTCTTCAGATAGACATCTGTTACTGGCAGAGTATGGACGGTGGACAGAGGGATCGTGAATCTGTCGTAACAGGGCAAAGCTCCAAACCTGCGAGACCATAAACCTTGCCACGTCCTTGGCCAGACTCCCAAGTCCTGCCTTCCAAGCCTCCAGAGGGCTGGGTGGGCAGGCAACTTAGAAGTGCAGCAGGGCCTTGGCTCCAATACTCAGTGCCACAAAAGAGAGACAAATAGTTAACACATTTTGGAACACAAGCAGTACCTATAAGATGCCAGATTTAGCAATCTTCAAAACTCCAAGCCCAGAACAAACAACAACAACAAAAAGAAGCCAAATTAAATTTGAATTTCACAAAAACCACCACACATTATTATTAATATGTCTCATCCCACAATGTGAAGCTCCAGTTCAGGAGTAAAGCGTGGCTCAGTGTTACACATCTTTTTTTGTAATGGTGCTGGGGAGGGAACACAGAACCTCAAGCACCATAGAAACGTGCTCTCCCACTGTGCTATATCCCTGGCCTGCAGCACAGCTCTTAAGTCCTGGCTTGTTCTTAGAGCCCCAAAAGGTAGGGGGTTGGGAGGTGTCTTGTATATGTCTGAGAGTTCCACCCACAGCGGGCCACCCACAGTGAGGCCTGAGGGCAGGGAAGGCAAAAACCCCGAGGTAGTGAGGTGAGCTGCTGACTGGAAGGCCTACCTGCATGGTGACTAGTCTGTCATCCACCATCACCTCCTTGGTCAGGAAGTCTGCTCCTATTGTGGCTTTGTACTGGTTACTGAATTTCTTGTTTACATACTGGTTCATGAGTGATGTCTTTCCGACCCTGAAAGTGAAGAAAAAGCACAAATCTAAGTCAAACAGGAAAGGACTGAAACTGACCCTGACATGCACAATTTTACAAGGAACCTGCTAATCCTAGAGGGGGAGGGGAAGGGGGGAGGAGGGGAAAGACAGGGAGAAGGAGCTGCCCTCAGCAGCCAGGCAATGCCAGCAGCACCCCAGGACTCTGCCCCATTTCCTGGGTGACAGCACAGTTCAGGGTAGAGCTCAGTGGGGAGCCTGGGCTTAGCAAGGCCACCCCCCACCCCCGTGGTGGAGACTAGCATTGCAGGGCAGTGGGAGTGGGTCCAAAGAAAATAATTCAGTCCTGATGTGTGCCAGATGTTGCAAGGTTCTGGTACAAGCTGCTCAGTGGTAGAACCTAGTCATTCCTTTCCCTCCCAGAAGGATGTCAGCAAATCACTCCTTCTGAAAGAAGCTGCAGAAATAAGATCACACCACTATTCCAAAAATATCCCTGCAGTCTGGGGTGTTTCTCTCCTTGGTGGCTGTTACGCAGTTGATGCACAGAAGCCAGGAGGGGGCCTGCTGCCCTGGAGCAAGCACTGGTGTCCCCATGTCTACTACGAGGCACTTTCTCCCACTAGGAAATGGCCTACAGCCTTTTCTGGGCTGAGGATAAGAAAAAGTCTTTTGTTGTTTGTTCTGGGCTTGGGGTTTCTCCTGCGCAGGAGCCCCCTGGCCAAGAGCATCACCTGCATCCCCAGAGGAGCAGGTCACTGTTTGTGGGGCTCTTAGCTGGACAGCGCCCCAGCAGTGCCCTGGAACCCGACCATTAGAGCCAGAACTGCCAGGAAAGGAGAAGGAGTGCTGCAATGAAAGCAGTATGGCAAGTGTCTACTCATTCTTTTCAGGCCCACCTGGATACAGGCCTAAAGTATCTGGCAGTCCTGCCAGTACAGAGAGTAGACACTTAAACCCCACCCCACTGATCTGGGGCTCATTAAAGAGCCCTCAAGACCGCGGCACATGCCTATGATCCCAGCTGGGGGGAGGGTAGGGGGCTGCAGGAGGATTGTTGTGAATCTGAGCCAAATTGCTACAAAGTGAAGTGAGTTCAAGGCCAGCCTGAACTACATGGCAAAACCCTGATCCCAAAGAGAGAGGGAGAGGGGAGAAGGGAGAGGGAAGAGGGGCGAGGGGAGAGGAGGGGAGAGGAGGGGAGAGGAGGGGAGAGACGGGGAGAGACAGGGAGACAGGGAGACAGGGAGACAGACAGACAGACAGACAGACAGACAGACAGACAGACAGACAGACAGAGACACCCTTCAAGTAGTTCACGTAAGCCAGCTAAGAAAAACCAGTAACTTTCTGAAGGAAAAGGCAGGAACTTTGGCAAACAAGGGCATGCCTGTCTGTATTTATTATTATTTAGAAGCTAGGAGGGTCATGATAAGCTGTCCAGGCTGGTCTTGAATTCCTGGGTTCAAGTGACTATCCTGCTTCAGCCTCCTGAGGAGCTGGGACTACAGGTATATACACCATATCCAGTTTATCACTGTTATTTTTAAAAATTTGTAAGCCTCCAATGAGGTAACCCCCTCCTGAGTTCCTCCAGGAACTCTTAATAGCTGCTCAAGAGCTAGTGGCAGATCTAGAAGCAGAAGCCAGTCTGCTGTGCCTGGTCCTTCTCTACAGGCTGGAACCAGACATAGGAGGCAATGCACAGTGCATGTTGAACCTGTACCTTGTGGACAGCCAGAAACAACCCCTCCAATGCTGGCATGAGTAGGCCTCCCGGGGACTGGCCAACTCAGAGAAAAGAGGGAGGGTCATAAAATTTTCTGTATCAGGGCCTGTGATAGCTCAGTGGACCAAGTGCCTGCTTAGGCAAGCACAGGGACCAGGATTCAATCCCCGGCACTATGTGCCACACCAGCCTGCCCCCAGGCGTGCCAAGAGTGCCACTGAGTCCAGGAGTGGCAGCGCACACCTGTAATCCCAGTGCTGGGGAAGCTGAAAACAGGAGGATCGCTACAAGTCCAAGCTACATAGTGAGACCATGTACCAAATACATGAAAAATAATAAATATTCTTCCATCAGCTGAGCTCAATCAGCCACCCTACCACTACTGATTGTGCTATAAAAGCCAGGTAGCCTAAGGAGGCTGCAGGTATGAGCCATTCTCATTTCTCCGCTATACCCTAACAGCAGGGGAGGAAGAGTCCAGAACAGGACATAGTGATGTCCGCCAGCCCAGGAGTGGAGGGAGGAGGATCCCCTGGGAGTGAAGCTCAGCTCCAAGCCAACTGATGGCTCATATTCAGGAGATACTTACCCCGAATCACCCAGAATGATGACCTTCAGCAACACTTTCTTCCTTGAGGTCATCCTTCACACTGTAAGAGGAAAGAGAAAGCACAGTGAGCCCAAGATGATCTCCAGAAGGAAACATGCCTTAGTAAGAACCACCCCCATGAAGCCTCCTGATAAAAGGGTCCATTACTAGAACATGGGACCCAACAGCTTGCAAACCAGCACAAGGAGGGGGAGGTGAAGGGGGCGACTGTGTTCTCCCACTTAATTCCTGGGTGGGCTCAGCAGTCAGGAGAAAACCTCCAAGCTTCCCCAGAAGATGAGCTGCTGCTTCACCAAGGTCCTGTGAAGCACTGTGTGGCACAGGCAACCACTCTATCTGAAATGTGACCTCCTCCTGTCACTCACTGCTGCTAGGCCACATCATTCTCCAGTGTGCTCAGCATGTGCGCCATTCACACATTGCACCTGTCTGTCTTCTGGATGCCAGAGCCTCTCCCCATGGCATGCACATCACCAATGAAGAATCCCTCAGTGAGGGATCTGTGGACAAACAGTGCTCAAAGCTGTACCTGGACAGACCCCTCTCTGGAGAAACTGGCACCCTTCCCTGCTGACCACAATGCCACCCTCTTCTGGCACTGGCCATCTCAGTCTACAGACTCATCAGGAAAGTGGCTTCACTCTAACCTTTTGTCTCCATCGCCAAGGCCTGCCTCAGTGACCTTCAGAAAAACTACAAATTGGCTGACTAGGGTCTGGAAAGCAGTTGTTAAGTATTGGCTGCTAGTATTTTAAAATATGCCTAAATCAGAGATGAGTAAAAAGGAACCAAACCCAGCAGGCAAAGAGAAAAGCAGTGATCACAGTGACAAAAATTGAGCCTCACCCTCTTTCCAGACACCTGGCTGTCACCTGCTGTTTTAAAGCAACTGCATTGCTCTGAAGACCACAGACTGACAGGACACGCTAGACCCCACTGCTGTCCCATAGGGCAGGGGCAGGTAAGGACCCTGTGGCTGAACTGACCTCCATGGCTTCTGAATTCATCTCTGGCTATAGAGGATGGTGTGGGAAAGGGAGCCAGGCCTCATGAGCTACCCTAAAGGTGATGCTGTCTCAATCCCCAAGGCTGGGTGCTCATGGTTGGCCTAGCAAGATGCCAATCTCAGCTGCCTACCTTTGTCCAGACAGCTCTTAGCAGTTAGGGGTAGCAATAGATGGCTGGAGTTCCCAAAGCCCGCTCCCTCAGTCATCTTCAGTCCTGGCTGGGGTCTTTTTAATCAACAGTGAGGCAGAAGCTGTTCCCCAAGACCCCACATGCTGAGCCTCATGGTCCCTCCCCTCAGGGACTGCACTGATGGATCCATACCTGGGTCCAGTCTCACCCTGGTTTTTGTCACACACTGAGAAATGGAGGCCACCATGGCACCAGGGAGAGGTCCAGAGCCAAAGATGGGCAGATTGCACAGAGATGAGCAGCTCTGCAAGCTGTGATGGGGAATACACATGAGCTCGCTGCCCCGTGTGTATGTGGTTTGTTTTTTTTTGGGGGGGGGAGGGGTAGGCATTCACATCACCTGTCATCAACGTCCCGGAATACTAGTGCTGCTTGCTAAGGCTCCAGAGGAGTACTGCACCTACACCTTTGCCTTCCTGAGGACCCATCTGCACTTGCTTGCTTCCTTCCTGAGTGTCATGTGGCACCAAATGGGGCTGAACCTCCAGTGCACCCCAGCCAGCAATCGCAGAAACTGTCTGAGGCCACCTGAGCCATCAACACCACTACAGCAGTGCACATGCCCACACATCTCCTTTATCAGAGGGTTTGCTATGAAAAATGTTCTCGTCTGTGGGATGCCCCACACCTGCAGCGCCTGGTAGTGGACAGGCCAGGCTCTGGGAGAACAGCAGCCCCAACATCTGACCTGGGCTCCTCCCAAGTGAGCAATTCCTCCACAGAGCTCGATGGGCTCCTGTGAGGGTCTTTGCAGGCACAGCAGGCACCATGCCCGAGAAAGACCACTGCAGCCCACTGTGTGCTGCCAGTCTCTCAATGGCCAGAAGTGCCATACCTACAGGAGGATACAGACTGACAGTGCCTACCTGGTCCCAAGGGAAGCAGCTAAGAAAGAGAACCAAAGGCTATATTCTCAAGCCAGGCAAAGGATTTTGTCCTCCCAACCCACAGATGCAGTTCAGGAATGGGATTACTGAGTCAAACTTCAACATCTTCCTGACTTTCTGCTAACTCACTTCCTGACGAATTTTCCCATGTTCTACTGCAGTAACTACTGAGGTGGTTCACAGGGATTAAATGACAGAGATGATGATTTTACTGAAGTGGAAGAAAAACTGAATAAAGAAGACACTCTTAAGGAGGAAGCCTTAGTGTAATGATGTGAACTTTCCTCTATTCAAAGATTCTACTAGCTGAGCACCGTGGCAGAGGCCAGTCTACCAAGCATTATGGGAAGCTGAGGCAGACAGGTTGAAAAGTGAAAAGCTCAAGGCCAAGCTGGGGGTGGCAGTAAACCTGTAATCCCAGCACTTAGGAGTCTTGAAACAGGTAGATCAGTTTAGGTCAGCCTGTGTTACACAGTAAATTCAAAGTCAGCCTGAACTACATACTGAGACCCTCTGTGAGAAACAACCAACTAAAAAAGAGAAGTTCAAGGCCAGCCTGGAAAAGGAGTGGGAGTGGTGCTGGGAGTCCAGGTCAGTGGCTGGCTGAGTGTTCACCTAGCATATAAGAGGTAGAGTTCAATCCCTACTTTTGGGAGAAAAAAAGAAAAATCCATGGTGCGTTTTTTGTTTTGAGACAGAATCCTCCTATGTAGCCAAAGTTGGTCTTGGTCTATTGGCAATCCTCCTGCTTAGTTCTCCAGATTATTGCTTGTAAATTAAAGGTTTTTTTTTTAAATTTAATGAACTCTTAATTGTACTCAAAAAGACAAATATATAGTAAGCTCCTTCTCTTTTTCCCCCACCAAAAATAGTAATGGCAAGGGATTTGCCCTGACTATCTTAGAAAGTATGTTACAGTAGCAAGCTAGACACAATGATACATACACCATACAATGATAGTACCCCAGCTACTGAGGAGGCTGAGACAGGAGGCTCACTAGAGCTCAGGAGCCTGAGGTCAGCCTGGAACAATTTGTGAGACCATGTCTCAAAAAATATATAAAATTTTTTTTTTAAAAAAAGGCAAAGCATGCTAGATGTGGTGGTGCTCCCCTATAATCCCAGCATTGGGGAGGCTGAGGCAGGAGGACTGCCATGAGTTCAAGGCCAGGCTGGGCTATATAGTCAAGTCCAAGACCACCCTGAACAGTGAGATCCTATCTTGGAAAAACAAAGAAACAAAAAAAGCAAAACACAATATGGCACAACAAAGTATATACAGCGTGAGGTGGGAAGACGACTAAATAGGTAAGTAGAAGAGACTGCAAAAATTTAATAACTTCTTTTTGGCCCTGGTGATTCAGTCCAGGGACTCTATACTAGGCAAGTGTTCTATCACTGGCTACATCCTGAGTCATCTGTTTCCATTTTGGCCTTAATCTTGAGATCTTCCTGCCTCACTCTCCTGGGTAGCTGGAATTAAACATATGTGCCATCATGGCTAGTTTGAAATGACAAGTTTTATTTTTATTTTTATTTTTTTTGGTGGAACTGGGGATTGAACTCAGGCCCCTGCGCTTGCCAGGTAAGCGCTTATACCACTGAGCCATCTCCCTGGCCCCAAAATGACAAGTTTTAACAAATAAAGCATTACTATAAGATTCAGGTAA